CATGTCCAACCGCTGTCCCTCCTCTGGACATGTCCAACCGCTGTCCCTCCTCTGGACATGTCCAACCGCTGTCCCTCCTCTGGACATGTCCAAACCACTGTCCCTCCTCTGGACATTTCCAACCACTGTCCCTCCTCTGGACATGTCCAAACCATCAGTGTGTCCTCTCTAACTTTATCTCCCAGTTGTTCAACCTGTGCTGTACCTCTGATGATCTCATTCCTAAACTTATCCATCCTTGTCACTCCTAAGCAGAACCTCAACATCTTCATTTCTGCCACTTCCAGTTCTGTCTCTTGTCTTTTTGTCCATGTCTCTGTCTTCTGTCTTTTTGTCTATGTCTCTGTCTCCACACCATACAGCATAGCTGGTCTCACCACTGTCTTGTAAACTTGTTCTTTGACCTTTGCGGACACCCTTTTGTCCCAGGAGTGATTTGTGACAAAAGGGTGTCAGCAAAGGTCAAAGAAAAAGTTTACAAGACAGTGGTGAGACCAGCAGCTTCAGAACATAAAACCATAGCAACAAACAGAACTAAACACCCGAATAAGAAAAAAGCAAAGTAGTCGTAATTTTTCGTTTGATCAAATGTTTGCTACAAAGACGAGTGTTCTCCCATGGCTGTCAACATTTCCTGGTTCTTCACCTCAACATGACAGCACTACTGATCACTCCAGATCTTTGTGCACCGCAATGTTTGACCCACCAGGGTAGCTAGCAAGTCACATGACTGAAAACTATCCAAAGTAACCAAACGTTATTTTCAGAAATATAAATCTGGACAATGATTTTGTTTTTGTTCCACTAAACCATAAAGTGGGCGGCACGGTGGATCAGTTGTAGAGTTGTTGCCTCTCAGCGAGAATGTGGCTGGTCCAAATCCTGACCCGGGACCTTTCTGGGTGGAGTTTGCATGTTCTTTTAATGCATGCGTGGGTTTTCTCCAGGTACTCCAGTTTCCTCCCACAGAACAAAAACATGCACGTTAGTCTGATTGGTAACTCTAAATTGTCTCTTGGTGTGAGTGAGAGCGTGAATGGTTGTTTGTCTCTATGTGTCCCTGTGATGGACTGGAGACCTGTCGAGGTTGTCCCCCGCCTCTCGCACAGTGATGGCTGGATATGGGCACCAGTGACCCCCGTGACTTGTAAAGGAAGAAGTGGGTAAAGATGATGGATGGACAAACCATAAAGTAATTTTATCCCAGCCTCACGGCTCAGTAAAGCGCCTCACCACGACAGCCTAACATCTGTTCTCTGATTGGATTGTTAATTTTTTGACTGACATGACACTGACCAATCAGCTGTGAGGAAGAAAAATCCAGTCATTCATACTTGTATGTTGAAACACATTTTACAAGGTTACAAAACTGATTACAAGCACAAAATAATTATGGCGGACATTTGTGCCCCCGCAGCACAGCCGTCACATCCCAGTGAGATAGTCGCTAAAATATATATATATATATAAAAAACCTATGAGACTTCTTTTCTTGGCTTTTGAAGATGCTTGGCTTCTCATTTAAGGAGCTTTCTCAGTTTGTGTGGAGTTCCAGTCTTTAACACCGAAGGCAGCAGGGCTTAATTTGTAAACTGATTGATGCCAAACAGCGGGCAGGTGGGGGTCGGTGGTGATAGTGGTGGTGGTGGTGGTGGTGGGGGGGATTGGTTTCTATGGGTTCTCACAGAAAATGTTGAATAACAGAGATGCTATTTCCTGCATTTTGGTGTATTTTAACGGGTTGTTATACATCCACATTTACCTACATTTGTTGACAATAAAATTACTATTTTGGAGAGCAACAGCAGGTTGTGTGAATGAGCAGCTCCGGTTCTGTCAGGTGTCCTACCCCCCTCCTCCCTCCCCTCACTTCACGGTTCGGAGCTGAACTCTTCTCCGCTCCTGCTCCAGTCTCATGGCACCGTTTGAACAACCTGAAGACTTCAGCTCTCTGTTGTCGAACTAAAGACAATCCATCCATTTTTTATTAAAGTAAATTGGACTGTCTTTTGACATTTTGATCTCTGTTGTTATTTTGACAAATTAGCGCCGTTGTTTTGAAACGTGACGTATAATGTGAATAACATCAAACATTTCTATCTTTGTATTTTTAATTTATTTTTTACAGTAAGCTTTTTTTATTTATTATGTCTAAAATGTTGCAGGAGTTCAGACACCTGCTGATGTGTGTGCGCTCTGTAGAGCTGTCTGGAGACACTGTCCACAGGGCATTTATTTATTCTGATGAATAAATGATCATTTCTGTTTCGGGGGTCTGAGAGGAGGAGAGACACGGGGTGTTTTTCAGTGCACAACCCCACTGAGTAGGGACAATATTTGGAGAGGGGGAGGAGAGAAGGACTTCACACAGAGCCTCCGTGCGTAAATGTGACCATCTGTCCGTCCGTCCTCACACCCCCCCGCCTAGAGGCTCCTCTCCTGCTCCTCGAAGGAGTGTGTAGCTGGTGCGCTGCGTGTAGCTGGTGCGCTGCGTGTGCTGCGGCTGGAACATCTACAGACTGGGTCCGTTGGGCTAAAGGCAACGTCTCCTCTCGTTGTATTTTTTAATAAATAATCAAAATAAAAATGTGCGATGACTTTGAACTTTTAGGGGCGGAGTTGACTGATCCAAACAAAGTTACCGGAACAGAACGGGTCAAAATGAGAGAGTTCCTGGATCTTGTTCTGGCAGGATCCGGCTCAAATTAACCACTGGAAGGCAGATGCTGTTTATTTATTTATTTATTTTATTTTTTTAACTGAACTTGAAAACATGCAACTTGCTGTCTTCCCTCCCTGCTGTGGTGCTGTCAGGGTCCATACTGGACGTGTTCAGGTCTCATGCAACTGCAAAAAAGAAAGAAAATAAAAGGTGCCTTTAAAAAAAACAACCTAAAAACTTAAGTGAAACCTCTTGGATAAGAGAATCCTCCTCATTTTTATTTTCACACTTTCCTAAACATGTACCCTTTACAAACATAAACCAGTTCATTAAACAAAACTAGAGTTTTGACACCAGTTTCAAAGAAAGATGATTGTTTGCTCAACAATACACAGGAGAAACCAAACTACGTCCAGCATGAATCACACTGAAGTCTTGAACTTCTGGTACTTATTAAATGTATTCCTGTTGTAGGTGTGGTGAAGGGCCACAAGACGGAGGGTCAGGATCTGTTCTACAGCGTGGAGATGGACGGCCAGAGGCAGTGGTACAACAGGACAGCAGTCATCTTGTCCCTGGAGCAGGGGAACAAGCTGAGGGAGCAGCACAGCCTCGGACCCTACGAGCCCACCACCCCACTGACCAAAGCCTCCGACATCAGTCTGGGTAAGAATGACTAACTCATGAGAACTATCTGAGATCTTTTATTAGGACAGAAGAAGAAGGCAGACAAATGTTCACAAACACTTAAGAGATCGATGCAGATCCAAACCTGCATTACTCTCTTAAGTCAAAATGATCCTTGATCCTTAAACCTCAGTTGTGGGCCATCACAAAATCACTTCAGGGTAGAGCTGTCATTTAACACCCGGAGCCCAGCCCTGCCTGACCCGGATTCGGACCGGGCCGGTCCATAATAATGTGCTTAATGTGCGGGTTCGGACCTGTAATAACTGTTAATTCGTCGGATCGGGTGGGGTTCGTAAAAGATGACTACAGGCTGGGCATGGGTGGGATTGAATTGTTTGGACCCAAATGCAACTCTACTACAGGGCCAGCAAATGGCCCTCGGGCCACCCTTTGGACACCCCTGATTTAGACGAAACATGACAAAGGACCGATGTTCGACATGCCTTCATGCTGTTTAAGTAGTGTTTCCCCTACCATTATACAAGCGCCCCGCCCCGTCAACGGAACCGAGCGCTCCGTCTACTGAACCCCCCCACCCATCCACCTGTCAGCTTTGATGTAACACTAAACTAGTGCCTCGCAATACAAGTGCGCTAGCTAAAAATCTAAAGGCAACCTCTTCCCTCATGCTGAACCCCCCTCCACTTGACAACTGTCGGTACAAATAATGCACGGCTCAGATGTGTCTCTGTCTCTCCCACCACCCCCCAATAAAAAAAAAAAACTGTCTGTATAAACAGCGCGCAGCACAGCTCAGACTCTACTTCCTCAGGCGGCTGAGATGAGCTGGTCTGGGAAGCTCAGTCCTCACCTCCTTCTACAGGTGTGCAGTGGAGAGCATCCTGTGCTCCAGCATCAACGTGTGGCATGGAGGCTGCACAACTGCAGAAAGAAAAGCTTTGCAGAGAGTTGTGAAGGCTGCACAGAAGATGTTGGAGTCAGTCTCCCCACCATCACAGACATCTGCACCTCTAGATGCAGGAAGAGAGTCACCTGCATCATGAAGGACCCCACTCACCCAGCACACACTTTTTGTCCCACTCCCCTCAGGAAGGAGGTTGAGAAGCATTAAGTGTAGAACCACTAGACTGAGGAACAGCTTCTACCCTGAGGCTGTTAGACTCATGAAGCTCTGACCAGAATAATCACTGTGAAAAATCACATGTTGCTGCTGATCTGTTTCATGTTGCTGCTGATCCGTTTCATGTTGCTGCTGATCCGTTTCATGTTGCTGCTGATCTGTTTCATGTTGCTGCTGATCTATTTCATGTTGCTGCTGATCTGCTTTAATGTTGCTGCTGATCTGTTTCATGTTGCTGCTGATCTGTTTCATGTTGCTGCTGATCTGTTTCATGTTGCTGTGTTCATTCGTGCTCATCTGCTCACACAGACTCATGTCCATGCTGCTGTTCGGTGTATTGTTTTTATTGTTTTTGTGCTATTAGTGCTTCGTGTATATTTAGTTGATGTTGATGACTTAGTTCATATCTTAGATCTTATCACTGTTTTTCTTTTACATTTTATTGTTGGATGTAACTGGGACCCTGTGTACATAATTTCGTTCCACCACATGTACCACGTGTGGTGCGAATGACAAAGAATCTCTGAATCTCAGGACGTGTCTCCATCCACCCCACCCTCACCCCACGACAAAAATCATGGACGAGATGAGCGCCCCGTCATGTCAAGTTATATTACAAACCGAATTCCAAAAAGTTGGGAAACTAAACACATTGTGAATAAAAACTGAATGCAATGATGTGGAGGTGCCAACATCTAATATTTTATTCAGAATAGAACACAAATCACAGATCAAAAGTTTAAACTGAGAGAATGTATCATTTTAAGGGCAAAATCTGTTGTTTCCAAATTTCATGGCGTCAACAAATCCCAAAAAGTTGGGACAAGTCCATTTTTACCACTGTGTGGCATCCCCCCTTCTTCTTACAACACTCAACAGACGTCTGGGGACAGAAGAGACCAGTTTCTCAAGTTTAGAAATAGGAATGCTCTCCCATTCATCTCTAATACAGGCCTCTAACTGTTCAATCGTCTTGGGCCTTCTTTGTTGCACCTTCCTCTTTATGATGCGCCAAATGTTCCCTATAAGTGAAAGATCTGGACTGCAGGCTGGCCATTTCAGTACCCGGATCCTTCTCCTACGTAGCCATGATGTTGTGATTGCTGCAGAATGTGGTCTGGCATTATCGTGTTGAAAAATGCAGGGTCTTCCCTGAAAGAGATGACGTCTAGATGGGAGCATTTGTTGTTCTAGAACCTGAACATAGTTCTCTGCATTAATGGTGCCTTTCCAGACATGCAAGCTGCCCATGCCACAAGCGCTCATGCAACCCCATACCATCAGTGATGCAGGCTTCTGAACGGAGCGTTGATAACAACTTGGGCTATCCTTGTCCTCTCTGGTCCAGATGACATGGCGTCCCAGTGTTCCATAAAGAACTTCAAATTGTGACTCATCTGACCACAGAACAGTCTTCCATTTTGCCACACTCCATTTTAAATGACCCCTGGCCCAGTGCAAACGTCTGAGCTTGTGGAGCTTGCTTAGAAATGGCTTCCTCTTTGCACTGTAGAGTTTCAGCTGGCAACGGCGGATGGCACGGTGGACTGTGTTCACTGACAATGCTTTCTGGAAGTATTCCTGAGCCCATTCTGTTCTTTCCTTGGCAGTGGCATTCCTGTTTGAGGTGCAGTGACGTTTAAGGGCCTGGAGATCACGAGCATCCAGTAGAGTTTTACGGCCTTGACCCTTACACACAGTGATTGTTCCAGATTCTCTGAATCTTTTGATGATATTATCAGAGATCAGAGTCAGAGTCAGAGTTTCTTTATTGTCATTCGCACCTCATGTGGTACATGTGGTGGAGCGAAATTATGTACACAGGGTCCCAGTTACATCCAACAATAAAATGTATAAGAAAAACAGTAATAACATCTAAGATATGAACTAAGAAAAACATCAACTAAATATACACTAAGCACTCATAACATAAAACATTGAACATCACCACAAACATGAACATGAGTCTGTGAGCAGATGTGCACGCATGAACACATCAACATTGAAACAGATCAGCAGCAACATGAAACAGATCAGCAGCAAC